TTTCTTTTTGAATGCCTCTTTCCTTGTCTCCTTATTAGATTTGCAAAGGAATTACTCATTGCAGGTTGTTTGTTCAAAAGGCAAAGAACTTTATTTTCCCATAAGTTTCTCCATATCTAAAACAGTGTTCAGTGTATAAACTGCTTTCCCTTGTTTTAATAATTTTGAGGTGGCTTGTTGACAAAACGGTTTCTAGTTAGAGGCTGTCCCTTTACCCAAATTCATCACTTCAGGATGAGAGGGAAATTTCCGTTGAACTACTTACTGTAGAGCTCCTAGCAAAAATTTTTGCACAGCTATTAGGGAAAATAAGGTATTTTCCGCAAAGGTGCCAAAAAAAGGTGAATCTCCGAGTTCCATATCCTTTCAATTTTTCATTGGAACTGACATTCAACAAACTCTGAGATGATTTTCCTCCTTTTTCTTTTAAAAGCTGTATTTTAAGTTTACCATGAACGTATTTTCGAGCTGACAAAGGTCTTTCAGGGCAATTTTGCCATTTTTAGTGGAAAAACTACCTTTCCCAGAATGCATTTCTCTTATATCAGTCCTTTATTGCAAGCTAGCTTTCAGACTTCATTTCCCATATTTCCTTTCGGTTTTTTTTTTTTTTTTTTTTTTTTTTTTTTAAGGGTTTCCCTGTGTAGCTTTGCACCTTTCCTGGAACTCACTCTGTAGACCAGGCTGGCCTCGAACTCACAGAGATCCGCCTACCTCTGCCTCCCAGGTGCTGGGATTAAAGGCATGCGCCACCACTGCCCAGCAACTTCTGGTATTTTTACTGGACTTGCTTACGAAGTTTTTGCTTTTGCAACAAGAGATTTGAATCAAGCGTTTTAAGTTTTCAACTACGGGAGATTATTTCTGTTCTCAGAGCTGGCCTCCACAGGTGTCTCTGCTTTATCAGACACCGCTGGAATCAGAACTGCACCTGCTCATTAGTGCACCTCGAGGCCGGCATTCCTTTTACCAACTTCCCTCGGGGCTTGTGTTTGCCTTAGCCAGTCAGTAAAAAACAAAAGCATTTACAACAGCTTTTCCATAGCTCCTTGGGAGAGATTTTCTCCTACTGATCTTGTTTTCATTTTGCTTGCTCCTTTCCCCCCAGATGCAGAGCTTCAGATAGCTCAGGCTGCTCTGTTCCTCTGCTTGCTGCCTTTGGAGATAGGGGCTCCCCCCACACCCCCAAATCTGCCTCAAATTCTAGCAGCTTTTTCAGGTCATGCATTTTCTGGGGAGGAATCTGTCCCTTCTTCGTTTCTTCAGAGAGTCTTTCTCCCAGACAGTTCCCAGTTTGGTCTCAGTTTATCCCCTTTGCCCCAGAAACATTTCCCTGCTACTAAAGGTAGGGGCTTTTTGTCTGTTTTCGGGGTCTGTGAGGTTTGTATTCATAAATCAAGCTTAGCAAGGGAGGTTTTTTTGCCATCTCTAAGCTTGCATCAGGCCCATTCCCCAGTGGGTTGCATTTTTTTGTCTGGGTGCTCAAGGACCGAGCTTATGCCAGAGGCAATCACCTCTTATGTTACCCCCTCACCTCACTGGTGGTTGAAACAAAGCTTCTCTGGTAAAGATGCTTTCTCTGATAGAGAAGAAAGCTTTATTCCCGGATAGTTTTCCATTCTGCCCTGGCTGGGCTCTTTCCCCAGACAGCGTTCTGACTCTGCAGACTAACTGCAGACGCAGTCTGACTTTACTGCTTTCCCAGAAAGGTTTTTTCTCTGATAGGAAAGCTTTTTTCAGATTTCTTTTTGCAGCTGTGGACCTATCAACCCGGGACTTGTAGGAAAGTGAATAACTATGCTGTTCCCACCGGCTTTAACTTTGTTCATTAGCAGTTTTCCCCTGGGTCCTGCACCTTCCTGCCGCAGCTCTGTGCTCCAGGAAGTTTACAACTGCAGGAACCCTAGTATCCCCGAAATGCACTCCAACTCAGAGACGCTGGCCAGTCGCCTCTGGGTTTTTGCTCAGAAGAGAGGATACAATGCTAACAGTTTGCATTGCTTCAGCAGATCTTTGCCTTAGGGGGATTAGGAGCAACTTTTCATTCTAAAACTTTCACTCAGAAACAAAACCCTTTATGCCTCAGCTCAGCTGTAACTGAAAAGCTTGGCTTTTTTTTTTTTGCTTTTCCCAGGTAAAGTTTCCTGCCCTATTGGGCTCCTTATGGCTTTTCACCCTTACTCTCCCAAGCGTTTCCCTCAGGGTACTCTGACCCACTGTCTTTTACTAGCTTGAAGAGACAGAGCTTAGAAGAGGTTTTTAGGAATGACATCCCTGCCTCCCTCATTGCAGAGAGGATTTTTCTGGCTTCAAGAACTTTGAGAGGCTTTGCTCTCTTAAGAGGTTTGTTGTTTTCCCTTAGAGCTAGTCACAGGTGATTCTTATTTTTGTTCTTCTGAGAAAGATTAAGGCTTTTAGAGAGACACCCCCCTCCCCCCGCCAATTTTCCAAGTTTTTTAGTTTGAGAGAAAGATTTTTTTCCCCCCAAAAGAGAGAAAGACCAACTTTCCCCAAAACTTCAACTTTAAACTTTTTGGCTTCTTACACCTGCATTTTTGCCTCAGGGAGAAAACACTTTCTCCTGCTGCTTGGACTTAGCATTTCAGCTGTCCCCAGGTCAAAAGCTTCTATAGGCAACTTTTTCTTCCCCATAAGCTCAGAGAAGAGCTTTTTTTTTTTTTTTTACTACCCGTAAAACTTAAAGATTTTCCTCCCAGTTTGTGTTCATAGACCCCAAGTTAGAAAATTGAAGTTTTTCTGTCTAGTTGCCTTAAATTTTTTCCTACATGATCTTACATTTCTAAGTTTTTCCTACACTATATTATTACACTATAACTTATACTTATTTTTCAGATAGAAATTAAGAGATACAAGATAGAAATTTTGATAGAAGAGACTTTTGTGCTGCAGCATCGGACATCCTTCCAGTCCATTTTTTCCCCCTTATCTCTCGAGGATAAAACCCCTGCCCTTAGCCGGGCGGTGGTGGTGCACACGTTCGAGGCCAGCCTGGACTACCAAGTGAGTTCCAGGAAAGGCGCAAAGCTACACAGAGAAACCGTGTCTCGAAAAACCAAACCAAACCAAACCAAACCAAACCAACAAACAAAAAAACCCCAAAACCCTGCCCTTAACATTCATATTTCATATTCCATTCCAACACTGGACACGTTCTTTCTTCCCACTGGCAGGACCACTTTCGCCAAAAACTCTGTAATAAAACTATTATTATCCTTTGTCTTTAGTCCCTATTACTTTATCTTTAGTCTCCCCCCCCTTTTTTTCTTTAGTCCCTGTTCATGGTACCATTCTGTGGGGTGTTTACCCACCAACCCCACAGCTCCCCAGAGTTTTCTTGAGTGCGAGCAGCAGGAAATATTAAATAGAAAGATTTAAGATTGTGGAGATAAAACAGATAGAAAATAAAAGATAGCCTCGAAAGGGCCTGGAACCTATTCCAAGGAGCCCTGTCTCTGCCCCAGGGTATTTATAGAGATGCCAAGGGGTGGAGCAAAAGACCTCCTCCCCCAGCACAGCCAAGTGCAGACCATCTCAGACACCTGCACTCAGGCCCGTGGTCCTGATCATCCTCTATTCGGACCTGCTGGGTAAAGCCACGAGGAACCTGAAAACAGGCTCCCACACAGATCCAAAGAGGAAGAGGAATGATCAGCTGACCCTAACTCTTCATGCTTTCCAGATTGAAAAAGGCCTCAAATCTCTCTAAGCTCCTCCCTATATCTTCCTGGGGGCCCCTATCTGGGTCCTCCAAAATCTCTATGGCTAATTCCAGTCAGCCAATCGCAGACTCCACCCTGATTCAAGGTAAACTTTATTAGCAGTCTCAGAGTGTCAGTGCGAATAAATATTCTGCAACAAATGTTTATTAAGCAATTATGAAGAAGTGCAAACTACATTTCTTAGAAATGTAGAGATTACATGTTCTTGAACATGAAATTCAGAAAGTGCACATTTCCATACCCTGCTTAATGAAAGCGTGGCCCTGCTCTCAAACAGTCTGAAGGATCAGACAGGCCTGGAAAAGCAGCCCTACCTCTCATGGGCACATCGTCAAACAAAGGGTTTTAAACAATAGACCATGCTGGTATCTGAAACTATGGCTGGAGAGATGGCTCGGTGGCTAAGAGCACATGCTCTTCTGGAGGACCCAAGTTCGGTTCCCAGCACTTCTATCAGGTGACTCAGTGTGACCACAGCTCCAGGGGACTTGATGCCTCTGGTCTCCACAGGCATAATTTAAAAAAAAGGAGCCGGGCGGTGATGGCGCAAGCCGGGCGGTGGTGGCGCATGCCTTTAATCCCAGCACTCGGGAGGCAGAGCCAGGCGGATCTCTGTTGAGTTCGAGGCCAGCCTGGGCTACCAAGTGAGTCCCAGGAAAGGCGCAAAGCTACACAGAGAAACCCTGTCTCAAAAAAAAAAAAAAAAAAAGGAAAAGTGAAAAGAGTCTGAAACAACTGGCAGTGGCTGGTATTCATGGACTGGATCAATCGCTAAAATGGTAAAATCAGAAATATTTCTAATGCTCAAGATAGATTATGTGAGCTGTGGAGGAAACGGAACTACACAATAAACTTCCAGAGCAAACAGCTTAACTCTATTTTATTGATATAAATACAACATATCTCACAGGCGTCCACTATTTTACTATACTACACAAGAGACAAGGTGAGAGCAATTAAATATTAATGCAAAAAGAAAATACAGAAATGCTTTGTTACATAAGTCACCTATATATAGTAAAGCATCCTACATACTTTGTACAATTTATTTCTAATTGATTAAGTATTTGAAATAAAGCAAGGCTCAATTTATTCAAAGTTTTATTTCTCGGTGGAAAATGCTCTTTTCATCAGTGGTGGCTGCGTCTTCCCAAGATCAAACATCATTTCCAAAGGTGGGTTGTTGAGAGAACACCAGTCAGGTATACGGCCGGTCTGATTATAATATTCCTTTGAAATGGAGCGGCTCCCAAGTATATCTTGCAATGCTCCAAAAACAGCGCCTGTGTAGCAAGAATACTTTTATAGCTAAGATGATATATCAGAAAACTGTAAGCTGCTTACATCCATTCTATGAAAAGAGGGACCGGCAAATCCAGAAGTGCAGCTCACATTCTCCAGTTCACTGGATTTTGAATAACAGGATCAACCATAACTCCTATGTTGAAAGTAACTTAAATAACCTTTTGCAGATTACAGTGAATACGGAATTACAAAATCTATAAGGAAGTGGAATAGAATGAGGTGGAAGGATTTTCAACTTTAGGAAAGACCTAGGTTTTCTTTGTCACAACTCGGCTACATGTCATTTACTTAAGTAGAATAAAACTGCAAAACCCAAGAGGTATCATTGAAAAGTCTTAAGATTTTTTTCATACTATTTAATATAATTTATTTAACTTTTTATTTTATGTGCAATGGTGTGAAGGTACCAGATCCACTAGAACTGGAGTTACAGATGGTTACCATGTGGGTGCTGGGAATTGAACATGGGTCCTCTAGAAGGGCATCCAGTGCTCTCAACCACTGAGCCATCTCTCCAACCCCAAAAGTCTTAAGATTTTATACTGAAAAAGAAATAGTATTGCATTCATTTAAAAATCCTAACATTTGTTTTTCTCTCTAAATGTATGATCTCGACACCGGCTCTATCATAAAATACACAATGTACATATGCGACTGTTTTTCTCTAGGTAGTTATTAGACTACCTGCTTATCTAGCGGTAACACCATCTAGAGCATTCAATGAGCTCCATTACAGAGCAAGGATGAAGCAAAGAACCCATTTCCCCCATTAAAACAAGAGTTCTAAGTAACAGCAAGCATCACTCTAGAATATGGTCACCACTTTCACTATTCTGAGGGATGACTTCAGATGGATGAAGTTTACTTAGTATTTGAGACAGGGTTTTCCTATGTAGCCCTGGCTGGCTTAGAGCTCACTATGTAGACCATGTTGTCCTCAAACTCACAAGAGATCCACCTGCTTCTACCTCCAGAGTGTTGGTATTAAAAGCGTGTGCCACCACATCATGACCTTCCCTAAGGATGAAGTTTACTTAAAAAAAAAAAAAAATCACAGTGCAAAGGCCAACAGAAACAAGCATATAATTCTAAAAATTCAAATAATTTAGAGAAAAGTCACATTTTATGAAAATATTTGTTCATTTGAAGGTCTAACTTTGCAGCTTAGACTGGCTTGGAATTCATTATGTAGCCCAGGCTTGCCTCAAACTCTTGATCCTCCTGCCTCAGCCTCCTAAGTAATTGGACTGTGGGGTTTATTTCTCAGTGGAAAATATATCTTCAGCATCATCTGTGGCTAAGTGTTCCCAACATCAAACATTATTTCCAAAGGTGAACTGTGAGGGGACACTAGTCAGGCACATGACCCAGCTAACAGTTCTACCTACGAGATGGGTAGTTTTCAATAGTGAATCATTTACTTTGATGCATTTATTAATAATAACACCGAGGACTAAGTTCTTACCTCCCAGCCAGGCCACACAATTAGCCTTTGCAGGTGGAGTATGAATCCGGAAGGTCTTGGTGCCAAGTGTCTTTTTGTATTTTGGTTTTTCTACCAAATACCGTATTTCTGCAAGCAATCTGTGGAGAAATCCTGGCAACATAGATGTGCCACCTATGACTACCAAATTCTCTGCCAGTTGCTTCCTGGTGTCTATTGGGCACTGGTATTGAAAAAGAAAAGAATTATTTTTAATTGGATAAATCCTGTTTAAGTACCCAGAAATGGACACTGTATATAGCAGCAGCAGCAGTAGCTTTAACACAAGAGACTGTAATGTTTCTCTATTCAAGTGCTGGGATTAAAGGTATGCCCTACCACAGTCAGCCTCTGCATTACCCTCTACATTAGTCTCTAAATTGTGTGTGTGTGTGTGTGTGAGCATGCACACCCGTGCACACATACAAGCATATGAGTGCAGTGTATGTGCAGAGATTAGAGGACAATTTGCAGGGGTGGGCTCTGTCCTACTATGAAGGTCCTAGGGCTTGAACTCAGGTTATCATGCTTGGCGGCAAGCGCCTTTACTCACTCCGACATCCAGCTAGCCCACAGTTTTAGACTTGAAAATAGTGTAAATTCCAAGTCGCAGAGCAGTAGCATGAGTGCACTCATCAACTAAATTTTCTCATATAAGTAAGGAAAGCATGTAACATTTGACCACCACCCCTCTCTGTCTCTCTGTTAACGTGTTTGTTTTTTGAGACAGATATACAGCCAGGAACTCACCATACATCCTAGGTTAGCCTTGAACTTGCAATCCTCCTTTCTCTACCTTTAGAGTACTAGGATAATAGGTGTGTGCCACTATACCTGGCTTAAAACCTAATTTTTTTTTTTTAATTTGTTTATTGGCTTGGAAGCTACCTGATTTCTTTTTTTAATTTTTTTTTTTTTTTTTTTTTTAGGTTTTTATTTATTATGTATACAGTGTTCTGTCTACATGTATGCTTGCAGGCCAGAAGAGGGCACCAGATCTCATTACAGATGGTTGTGAGCCACCATGTGGTTGCTGGGAATTGAACTCCGGACCTCTGGAAGAGCAGCCAGTGCTCTTAACCTCTGAGCCATCTCTCCAGCCCCCAAAACCTAATTTTTCAAGGTATTATGTCTCTACTACCACACCTAAGGCCAGTTGCTGGGTGGGAAGCTCATACTCTCAGAGCTTGTTTGGAGGTTCTCACAGGACAGCACAGCTGCTCATGTACCCTTGACTGGAGGACCCTCTCCTCTACTGAAAAGTCACATTCTTGGCACAGCTTCCAGAGGCTGTGTTTCAAAAGGAGAAAAGAAGTGAACTCTGCTGGCCAGTCAGATCAGCCTGGCAGCCCAGGGGGTGCCAGATCATCCTCACTCAGACCCTGTGAGAACTGCGCTTCCTCATCAGTTCCAAGACTCAGGAATGATCCAGTTCTTTAAGAAGTGGTGCCTGAGAGGCAGACAGGACCTTTCCACAGTGATGGTACTTCAGATGGAAGTTCCACAGTGGCAAACTCACTCAACAAAGCTATATGTGCCTCAAGCACTTGAAAATTCACTACCATACAGAACGGAATTTGGAGGAACTAAAAGCTACCCAAGGTCCAAGTCTGGTATCTGCTTTGAAAAAAATTGCTTTGTTCAAACTCATTACCTGGTTTGGGATACCATATCTCACTCACTCAGCGCCAAAGTCAAACTCATTAACTAGAAATGTTTTTCACATGGTTTTTACATTCATGTATTTTACGTGTGTGTGTATGTGTGTGTGTGTGTGTGTGTGTGTGTGTGTTGGTGTGGCCATGCTACGCAGGTGGAAATCAGAGGACAACCTGTAGGTGTGGGTTCTACCATGTGTCTTGGGGTTGAACTTAAGCCATCAGATTTGGTGGCAAGTACCCTTATCTGCTGAGCTATCTTGCTGGCCCTAGGAATATTTTTAAAATACTAAGAAAAACGTTTTTTTTTTGATACAGGGTCTTACTACGTGACCCATGCTAGCATGAATTCTTGATATAAACCAGGCTGGCCTGGAATTCCTCATCCAACTGTCTTGGCCATTCAACTGCCACTATACTTAGCAGCATTAACTATAAAATTCCACAGAAAAGTTAAAGTAGGAAAATGTAAGCCAGGTGTGGAGGGGCATGCCTGTAATCCTAGCACTTGAGACGAAGAGGCAGAAGAATCTGAAGAATTTCCAAAGTCCAGCGAGATACTGAGTTATAGGTCCAAACCAAAACAAAAAAAAAACAAGTAAAATATTTTTTAAAAGATAACAGTATTCTATAAAAATTACAATAAAGAGACTAGAAAATTACCTTATTCTTATAAATAATATGTGATAAGGAAAAATGCAGAAGACAACACTTAATTTTTTTTCTTTGAAGGACCATTACAACAAAGGGAAACTTTATAAATACCTGCAAAAGGGAATCCAATATTAAAGTGGCAACAGATTTCTCCTCATTATCTTGTTCAAAAAGAATTTCCACAACTGAATCTCTGATGAGAGTAAAAAGAAAAGAGAGCACTTTATTGGCATCATATAACCCGACATGGAATAAAGCATTCATTATACTGACATAATGATTTTAAGTGGCAGTATCACCTTTATGAATTATTTAATAAAATGCACAGCTGTTCTCATTGTAAGTGGGGAAAATAGTAGTGTCCACCTCTAGGGGTTGAGAGGAGGATACAATACTCTTGCCAAACAAGGTTTGACACACAGGAAGCATTCCTCAAGTGTTAGCTCCTGGGGAAGTAAGATTTGCATGTTTTGGATTTCATTGCCCCTCCTCAAACATAACAACAGAAAAGAGGTTGTACTCTGTAAAAGTTAACAAAACAAAAGGATTTCTGAAGTACGTTTCCACGTAGCTGGAGCTGATTTCAAGCTCCTTATTCTCTTGTCCCTACCTCCCACGTGCTGGAATTCAGGTGTGAGCCACTACACGGGGCAGCCTACACTTTTTTTTTGTCTTAAAAATCTACAATAAAGCTGGGTACGGTGACCCACACCTGTAACCCCAGCACACAAGAAAGGTAAGCAGAAGGACTGCTACAGACTGAACGCCAGCCTGGGCTACACAGCAACAGCTGTTTTAAAATCAGGAAGCAGCAAGGACATGACAGAGATGTAAGAGAAGTCTATTTTGGCCAACATGAGAAAGGTCTTTGGGGTGAACAGTATTTTTCACTGTACATATTTAAGACATACAATATAATGTCTTGCTATACACAGTCATAATGAAATGATTACCTATCACCCTCCACAGTTACCTATTTTGTGGTAAGAGTGGCTACAGTTTATCCTCCCAGACTTCTCAGTATAGGACATACATTATCAGTTACATCCTCGTGTTACATGGTGAAGGTTTGTGCCCTCTGATCTACTTCCCTTCACCCCGCTCTAACCCCAGTCGCCACTGTTGTAATCCGTTTCTAAGCAGTGTTTCCTTCTTCTATGTGGTGCAGTTCTTTTTAATCAAGATTTCATGTAAGATTTCATGTTTATTTGTATTTTTCAAACATGTGCACATTAAAAAATAGAAGATTTACACCACACATAGCGCACATGCTTTTATCCCAGCACTCAGGAGGCAGAGCCAGGCGGATCTCAGTGAGTTCGAGGCCAGCCTGGTTTACAAAGAGAGTTCCAGGACAGCCAGGGCTACACAGAGAAACCCTGTCTCAAAATAGCAAAAACAGATAAATACATGAATAAATAATGGGGGATTTACAATAGGAAATCAACGCAAAGTCAAATAAACTAATGATCAAATCATACATGATCATGGATCACACGTAATGTAATAACCTAATGGAAACTAATTTTATCAAGGCAGTTTCATAGCCACAATAGTTTAAAACTTTATTGTTGAAGTGTAGATCACAAAAACTACACATAAAATTACACAGAACTATATGTACACTGTATACCAATACCAATTTACTACTTATTTAAATTTTGAGATAAAGTCTCTCTATGTAGCCTTGGCTGTCTTGGAACTCACTCTGTAGACCAGGATGACCTTGAACTCACAGAGTTCCACCTGCCTCTGCCTCCCAAGTGCTGGGATTAAAGGTGTGCATCACCATATTCAGCTTCTGTATTTCATTTTTCAACAATCTCCAAGTCTAGAATTACGTGAAAATTTAAAAGAAACCAAAAACAGTGAACCTCTTTAAAAAACTTTATAAACACCGGGACTCACTATGTAGCCTAAGGTGCCCTTGAACCTGTGACATACCATCTGCTTCAGCCCCCACCTGCTGGGATTCAGGTGGGTGAGCACAGCTGGCCCACAGAGCCTTTTGTAGGCCGGGTGGACTGTGCTTCCTGCCGTCAGCTCAACTACTCCTGTTTCCCAGCTCCCGACAGTAGACAGGAAGCAGCAGACAGACAGAGCGACAGTAGACAGACAGATAAAGCTCCCTACAGAGGAGAGGAAGCACTCTTCCTTTCCCTTCCCTTCTCAGGACTGCTTGCTTGCTGCATGAGATGGGAAGCTATGACTTTAGCAGCCACAAAGAACCCAAGAAATGATAAGATGGACAGATGCTCCCATCTCTATTGGGAGCTGTCCCACTTTCTAAACATGGATCACATGACAGACACTCCCGCACTGCTGAAGCCACTCTCTTCAGGTTTGTAGAAGCTGGGTGGCCGAGAAAAATACCAGCCAGTGCGACACAAACCAAAGTGAACACACATATCACATCGGAGCTCTATTTTTGTTTCTTTTAGTAGGGTCTCACTATGTAGCATTCATTTATTGTGGGTCCCACTAAATAATCGAAAGAAAATTTAAAATAATAATTTAATAAAAATAACAATAGACCCGGGTGATCCCAGCACTCGGGAGGTAGAGGCAGGGGATCTCTGTGAATTCAAGACCAGCGTGCTCAACAGAGCAAGTTCCAGAACAACCAAGACTACACAAAGAAACCCTATCTTGGAAAAAGAAAAAAAGAGACTACCAAAAAGTACCACATTTTCACACCAATGGGTCCTTTAATTTATAATTTTTAACTTTACGTATTTATGTTCATTCTCTTGACATCTCACCCTCTGTTACCTTAAAACTTAAAGGCTATCCAGTATGGTAACTGTTTTTCAGTCCATCTTTTGATATCAGATCTTAGAAATGGAATGTTTAAGGCAGTCAGGTATGTATTCACAACAGCTGTACTCAAGAAGTTAAGGGAGGAGGAGAACCACTGTTTGAGGTCAGCCTGGGTTACAGTATGATTGATACCCTGTCTGAAAACAGAGGGCATTTATAATCAAATCTCATAGGATATAAATAAATTAGAATATAAATAAAATTACACTGCATATAATTATGTTTCTCAATATAATTATGTAAACCCTTAACAGTAATTTTTATTACAATATCTGAGAAATAATGAAATGAGTAATAAAATGTGAACCACCAATGGATTCTAAGGTTTGAATTTATTTGGAATGAAACTTCATTCTAAGAAAACAAAGTTTTAAAATTTTACTTATTTTATGTGTATGGGTATTTTGCCTGCATGTGTGTTTGTCTACCATGTGCATGAAGTACCCACCAAGGCCAGAGGAGAACACTGGACACCCTGAAACTAGAGTTCTAGATAGTTCTGAGTTGCCATGTGCATGCTGGGAACTGAACCTGGCTTCTCTGTGTTCTTTTTTTTTTTTTTTAAAGATTTACTTAATTATTTTATATACATAAGTGCTCTATTTGCATATACACCTTTATCCCAGAAGAGGACATCAGATCCCACTATAGATGGTTGTGAGCTACCATGCTGGTGCTGGGAATTGAACATAGGACTTCTGGAAGAGGAGTCAGTGCTCTTAACCACTGATGTTCTTAACTGTTGATCCATGCCAGTCTCTGGGTTCCAAACAAAGGTTTAGAGCACAAACGAGCAAATGACTAACTAATAAAATCCAGCCACTCTCCACATGAAGTGTCTTTGGAACACGGGCATAGTATACGTTTTGCACTTCATCTGCAGAGCTGAGTAGGTGAAAGACTATACGAACATCAAAGTCTAAGACAGTTACTACTTGGTTCTTAAAAGAGATTCCGACCCCTTTTAAAACATATTTCCTGTTGCTTTTCAAAACACTGTTAGTTTCATTAAAATAATTCTGAATTATTCTGATGAACAGGAAAGAATATTTTTAAAATTTAAAAAAGCTGAATAAAGTTACAAAAAATGAAGCATCACGAGAAACATTTTACTGTTAACCAACACTCAACTAAAGGCTTATACAAGTATTTTTCAGAGCCAAAATGTAACACATTGTTTTGTTTGTAATAATTACTGTCTAACCTGATTGATCCAAGCACATGTAAAATCTTCTCTCCATCCAATGGATAGTCAACATTTGGGGGTGGGGAGGGACGCTGAAACATTAGAAAAAAATATATATATATAAAATCATAAGCAAACATGTAAGTATCTTTCAAAACAGACATGATGGCTAAGCTTACCTCATTGTTGCCATCAATATTAAATTTTGCTGCTTGGATCTGTAGTCCACGCTTCAGATCACATACAAAGCACGTGCGCACTAAGGAAGGAGGAAATGGAGCCTCTGTTACTGCGTGTTGTTAAAGGAATGGGGAGCTTACACCTTAGAACAATTCTGTTCACGTGAACGTACAATTTCAATTGTCGTCTCCTGTAAAGTCATGTATCATTTCACTGCTTTTTTATGACGCACAGTTGAGAGTTTTTTTGAGATTTATTTATGTATTTTATGTATATGAGTTCTCTGTTGGTATGTATGCCTCTGTGTCAGAAGAGGGCCCTGGGTCCTATTGTAGATGGTTGTGAGCCACCGTGTGGTTGCTGGTAACAGAACTCAGGACCTCTGGAAGAGCAGCCAGTGCTCTTAACCACAGATGTGATTTTATTAGAGACATTTTAATACAGGCCTAGGCATGAAGCTTAAGAGAAAAACAAGAGGGGCCAGGAAGATAAAGGGAGAGGATGGGGGAGGCAGAGAGATTAGAGGAGCCCAGGAAGAAAGACCAGTCAAGAACGGGGTGCAGGGTTCTTTCTCCATGGGAGTGTTGCCTGCGAAACGACATTCTAAAACTACCCTTGCAGGAACTACTCTGCCCATAGACGGCCTTTGCAGACATGTAACAATACAAAGAAACTGCGGCACCATGAATACAGCTCTTCCAACTAAATAGTATGTGTTGTCGGGTTTTCTGTTTTCATTCTTCTCTTGTTCCCTTAACAAAAGAGCTTAGTGAAGACACACACTCCACTTGGTCCTTAACTGGAGTTTCTGCAGTGGTCACTTCCTGCATGGACACCCAGCAATAAATACCAACTGCCCACTACGCTAGCCTTTTAATGTTTGTGGTTTTTTTTTTTTTTTTTTTTTTTTGAGACAGGGTTTCTCTGTGTAGCTTTGCGCCTTTCCTGGAACTCACTTTGTAGTCCAGGCTGGCCTTGAACTCACAGAGATTCGTCTGCCTCTGCCTCCCGAGTACATGTGCCACCACTGCCCGGCCAGCCTTTTAATTTTTGCATTCACTATTTAAGACTTTTTTTCTGCAAATACCCTTAATAAAGCCTTTAGACACAGGAGTAAGTAAAAATTTAAAATCTGAGGAAAAGTGGTGTTGAATGCAAGAAATCTAATGACTTTAGCCAGATTATTTGTAGAACATTACAGACACACTTACAACTATGTAATGTGTTTACTATTCAGCTGAAGACAAATTCTGCTGGGGAATGGAGAGATGACTAACAGTTAATACCACTGTTCTTTGAGGACCAGGGAGTCTGATGCCTTTTGACCTCCACAGGCACCAAGCACTCATGTGGTACACATGCACACATGCAGGTAAAACATTCATACAACTAAAATAAGTAAATCTTAAAAAAAAAATAAATTTCTGTTGTTGAACATACTATACAGCAACATGGCTGTTTTTTTGTTTGCTTTGTTTTTTTTTTCCAGACAGGGTGTTGGATGGCCCTAGCTGGCCTGGAACTTGGTATGTATGTATGTATGTATGTATGTATGTATGTATGTATGTATGTATGTATGTATGTATGTATGTGTATATGTAATATATATGTATGATGTGTGTGTGTGTGTGTGTGTGTGTGTATGTATGGATATATGTATCTGCCCCAAGTGCTGAGATTACAGGCAAATGCCATCACAACTGGTTCCATTTTGTACATATTTTTTTAATCTGTGTTTTTAGAAACTCATGCCCTTCACACTAACACTAAAGAATGAAAAGGACAAAGAGAACTCAGGGCCAGAGAGATGGATGGCTCAGAAGGTTAAGGCACCTGCTGTCAAGCCTACAACCTGAGCTCATCCCAAGGATCCACACGTTGACAGAGAAAACTCTGCTTACCTTTAATATCCTCTAAGATACCTTCTGGAACTGAACCTGAAAAAGAATTTTATTAAGAATTAAGGAACTTTAATAATAATTTTTAAAAATCTTATTAAATTCTATCCATTTCCCCATTTTTTTTATTTAAGCAAAATTAAAAAATATTTAAGTACTACAATCGTTTTAAAGGCCTAACAGAAAAAGCAACTTTGCTTTTAGGGAAGAAATCTCATCATTCCAAGTCAAGGAGAGCAGAGAGCCTGACCCCAGGAGGCTTGAGCTTGGACACATTACAACAGAGCCAGAGTGCATGCACAGGGATGGGCCAGGCCCCAGCACTACCAAAGATACTCAATTATCCCCTCAAATACAGTAGCAAAACTACGGAAGCTTTCTCATCATAAGGAGCCTTGCTGGCTATCCTCTATTCTACAGGGCTTACAGTCGGGGTATTATTATGTTACAGAAAAGTTAAGTTCTGAGTTTGCATCTGTTATATGACAATAGCTGCCAGCAATATCACAAACCAGCACATATGCGGGGAGACGGGCACGTGCCATGGCACACATGTGGCCGTCAGAGGACAACTTGGAAGAGTCATTTTTTTCCTTGTACCATGTGGGTTCTCAAGAGTAAATTCAGGTTGGCAAGTGCTTTTTAATCCCGAGCCATCCTGCTGTTAACTGACCCCCAGCACACATTGTTAAAAAGAAGTACGTACAATCTTTTAATCTTTTCCTTCAAAGTCAAGGGTACATTTGATTTTTTTTCTTAGCATACACGAGCTGTACAAACAATGGGATCCTAATGAACTCCATCTCCACACATGGATGTAACAATCACACTACTCGCCCAGCACCCTTTGCTCTCTCCTCTGCTATCTCCCAACCCTGTCTAAAGATGGCATTTGAAAGGAATAGGAAAAGGCTAGGCCAGGTGGCTTAGAAAGCTAAGGCAGGACGACTGTCCCAAGTTCAAGGCCAGCCTGGGCTACACATTAAGACTATATAACAAGACTTAGCCTCAGAAACAAGCAACACACACACACACACACACACACACACACACACACACACACACACACACACACACGCAAGCGCGCACACACGAGAGTAAAAAAGCAACCTTTTGGATATGCTACCGATTATTTGTCAATTTTCTGAGGTAGAAACAGAAACACAACTTTCTAACCTTAATTTAAAGTCTTCTAAAGTAGCCATGTGTGGTGTCTCACACCTTTAATCCTAGCACTTAGGAGACATAGGCAGACAGATCAATTTTAAGTGGGAGGGCAGCCTGGTCTACATGTTGAGTTCCAGGCTAGTCAAGACTACATGGTAGACCCTATCTCAAAACAATATATAATAAAATAACATCTAAACCAATTCTCAAAACATATTCTGATTGGTGGATAAAAACCAAGAAGCTTTTGGTAAAGAAATGGATCATGATCAAAGGGCAAGCAGCACTATAATTCCTACCTGCATCTTTACATCTTCTCTGGAAGCAAACTCTTTATAATCAACTTAATCTAAAGGACAACCTCAAAGTATTAACCCGTAATTTGAAAAGTGGCATATTTAATCCCATTGTGCTTGAAAAGGGTAAAACATGTGTTAAACACGACTTCAGTGGGCTGGTGTGAGAGCTCAGCTGCTAAAGGCTACAGCTCTCAACTAAGACTTCAAGTGTGGCTAAAGAGGCCAGGCATAACTCGGTGAGAGAGCCCATGCTTAGCACAGACAGAGCTTTGGGGTTAACTCCCTGCACCCCGCACCAACCCACCAAAGGCAACTTTAGGTTTAGAGTTACTTCTATTAATTTTGTTCTTTTCAATTTCTTACTTTATGGTTCATAACATGGTAATTATAGTACGCAAGTTTATAAACATATGTTAAGGGTACATGGTTCAAAGTGCTTCTGTTGTGTGAACCAAACAGTTGACAAGTCCTATTCTTAGACATTAAATTTATCCAGGTGTGGCAGCACATCTGTACTCCAGCACTCAGGCATTAGTGGCTAGAGGAGGGGAGTCAAGGACAACTTCAGCCATATTGTGAGTTTAGAACTTGGATTACATGAGCCCTCACCTCAAAGAAAAGGACAGACCAAAAACCTGTTCAAATTTACTTCTCAGGATTTCCCAAGATTTATCCTGTCTACAAACAAATGAGAGATGGAACTGTACCATAAGATCAACAACCCAAGCTGGGCGGTGGTGGTA